GCACTTGTTCGCGTGGGCGGAGCTTTATTTATTGTTATGATCTTTTTTGTACTCTTAAAGTCACTCCATAGTCAATATTTTAGTGTCGGGAGTATTCTTTTATTATTATAGTGTTATGTTGAGTATCGTTATTTATTATCAAAATTGGAGATAAATTAGTAAATTCTGGTTGTTAGTGGGTTGATTAGTAATGGTGGAGACTCGTTTTGGTTAATTGATAAGTTGTTAATTATTTGGTATGACATTAGGATGTTTGGTTGTTGATTTGAGACAGGGAAATATTTTGGGATAGTCCAAAAACAGGGAAAACTCTGTTCGATTTTCTGTAAAATTCCGATGAGGCTTACTTGGGAGCACTTGCTCCTAAGTGCTGGTCATGATCCTAAATTGGGTCGTGACAATCATCCTTCTTCATCTTCTCACATGAGAGATATGACTCGTCAAAGATTACGTGTATACTCTCCTCAACACACTGAGTCCGCTTGTTGTATACCTTGTAGGCTCTACTTTGAGTAGAGTACCCTAGAAAAATTCCTTCATCACTCTTGGCATCAAATTTTCCAAGCCGATCCTTTCCATTATTGAGAACATAACATTTGCACCCTAATGTTCTTAAGTGAGTTAGCTTGGGCATCCTTCCATTCAGCAACTCATAGGGAGTTTTGTTCAAGAGAGACCAGATCATGCACATGTTCACCAAGTAGCAGGCAGTGTTGATAGCTTCAGCCCAGAAGTTCTTAGCAATCCATTATCAATCAACATTATTCTTTCCATTTCTTCAAGGGTTCTGTTCTTCCTTTCCACAACTCCATTTTGTTGTGGAGTTCTTGGGGCTGAGAAGTTATGGGTGATGCCATTCTCGTTGTAGAATTCATCAAACTTGGCATTGTCAAATTTTGTTCCATGATTTGATCTAATGCATGCTACTTTTGATTCCATCTTCACTTGAATTTTCTTCACAAAGGCTACAAAAACTTCAAAAGTCTCATATTTTGTTCTAAGAAACAGAGTCCAAGTGAATCTGGAATAGTTATCCACTATCACAAAAATGTATCTTTTTCCTCCCCTGCTTTGTACTCTCATAGGACCACATTGATCCATATGAAGGAGATCAAGTGGTTTTGAGGTGCTGACATCCTTCTTTGGCTGGAATGAGGATTTCACATGCTTTCCTCTAGCGCATGCATCACAAATTTTGTGCCTTTTGAACTTTGACTTGGGCAGACCACGAACCAGGTCCTTCTGAACCAATTTATTCAGCAGAGAGAAGCTTGCATGCCCTAGCCTTTTGTGCCACAATTCAACATCATCATCAACTGCTTTCAAACAGCTCAGATCACCACTTTGTTGGGACTCAAAATCAACAATGTAGATATTCTTGTATGGCCACAAGTACCACTTCACCAGTTACTAGATTTGTAACTGTGCATATCTTTGACAACAACTCCACTTTGTTTCCTTTATCACATATCTGAGAAACACTTAAGAGACTGTACTTAAGACCATTGACATAATACACATTCTCAATTGAGTGAGTGAGTGATTTTTCAATTTTTACAACACCAAGAATGTACCATTTTTCCCATTTGCAAAGGATACACTCCCTCCTTGCAGGGCTTTTAGTGAAAGAAAGTCCATGGTATTTTCATTCATGTGCTTTGAGCATCCACTGTCCATGAACCATTGTTGTCTGTTTCCTTTCACGGTTCCCTGCACAAGGAAATCAAGGGTTAGATTTAGGAACCCAAGCAAGTTTGGGTCCCTTGTAATAAGCAAGGGGATGAATAAGTGCTCATCTAGTCCATGCAAGTAACATGCACTTTTTATGGGTGGCACCTGATCTTCTTTCAGAAAAAAAAACTTTGTTTCTTTGAAGAGACTAAACCCTGGCTTAGAAATTTTCCTTGAAATGCCCATTGTTCCCACAGTGGGTACACAACCAATTATCAGGCACAATGTCGTACTTACTATGAGGGTTATAAGGAGTTCTCTCCCTTTGAGACCCTATTCCCTTCCTGTTTCCACCATTGTTGACGTACAAGGCAATAATAGCATTAGAGGACTAGGTCCACTTAAGAGACTTCTCAAGATCATTTTTTACTCTTTCCAGTTCTACTTGAAGTTGTCTATTTTTCTCAAGTTCAGCACACAAACTAGTTTTTACAACATTTAACTCGTTTTCAAGTTTAATATGTGCCTCACTAGCTACTTCATTTCCTTTTTCAGAATTCCCAGGCCTACATTTAGCTTTGAGTTCCTCTATTGTTTCTTTTAAGTCTACAATACGTTCATTGAAACCATCCAAATGTGAATATTGATATTATACAGTGATTACCGAGCTTATTACTGAACTGTTAATTGTATTATACTACAAGAAAAGCATGATGAGACTGAAATATTTATTGCTTCTAAAAGGCATTTTATGTTATTTTTTGTTTGAGACACTAGCATGTTTTTTGACTTGTCCCCAATAAAAATGGTTGTGGTTAAGTGTTATTACTCACTGAGCTAGCGACTCATTCCCGACTAATTTTTTTTCCAGAGACAACAGTTGATGCGAGCGGGGATTTCGTTAATTAGAGCGCACAGGTTGATAGTTCTTGGTGAGCCTCGCACTTGTTCACGTGGGCGGAGATTTTTTTTATTGTTATAGTCTTTTTTGAACTTTTAGAGTAGAACCATAGTCAATATTTTAGTATCACGAGTATTCTTTTGTTATTATAGTCGTATGTTGAGTATCGTTCTTTATTATCAAAGTTGGAGAGAAATTGGTAAATTCTGGTTGTTAGTGGGTTGATTAGTAATGGTGGAGACTTGTTTTGGTTAATTGATAAGTTGTCAATTGTTTGGTATGATATTAGGATGTTTGGTTGTTGATTTGAGACAGGAATTTTTTTTGGGATAGTCCAAAAATAGGGGAAACTCTGTCCGATTTCTGTAAAATACCGATGAGGCTTACTTGGGGGAACTTGATCCTAAGCGCCGGTGACGATCCTAAATTGGGTCGTGACAAAGTTGGTATCAGAGCTTAGGCTTTAAGTCCCAAGTCATGGAGCAATGTTTAGTAGAATCTTGTTCATAGGTATGTAGACGCCCATACTTATGATCTTGAGGCTATTGAACATCTAGGAATGTTTTTCCTTCTTTTATTCTTTGCTTGTGCGTTGAGATAGACACACACACCCTCATCTGCTGGACGTGGTGCAAGACGTGGTACTACCCGGGGTGGCGGTCAAGTTAGGGTTCATCAAACTAGAAGATAGATTGCTCCTCAACCTGGAGTTGGGAACATGGGTCAACCCCAAGCTACTATGCCAGATCAAGTGCAAGGGCAGGGAGTTCAAAACGCTCCACCACCACTACCAACTATTGTACCTACTGTTGCCTTACCAGCAGACGCGGTGGCAAGGTTATTGAATATGTTAGAGGCATCAGTGCCTACTCAGGGTGGAAGTTCAGCTCCTCAAGCTGCTTAACAGAGATAAGCACCTGCACAGACTCAGACTTTCGGAAATAAGGAAGTATCCCTACAAGAGTTTCTGAAATTGAAATCACCAAAATTCACAGGTTCCGATAATTCAGTAGATCCTCAAAGTTTCTAGGATGGGACACTTAAGGCATTACGTGCTCTAGGTTGTTCTAGTGAGAGAGCTGTGGAGCTCGCAGTATACAAACTAGAGGATATGTCCAACACATGGTATGAAATTGTATTGTTAGGAAGGCCAGTAGGAGCAGCACCACTGACATGGGACGAGTTCACTAAGTTGTTCAAGAATTATTTTTCTTCCAGACAACTTGATGCAAAAATATGCTAGAGACTTTGAGAGATTGGTTCATACTCCAGATATGGATGTGTCAACATATAACACTAAGTTTTGTAAGCTAGCTATATATGCTCCTTATTTAGTGCCTACCAAAGAAGCTCAAGTTCAGAGGTTTGTTGATGGATTGGTTGGTCGTCTATACACTATAGTAGCCCCTCAGATGAAGACTGTATCCTACTCTAATGTAGTCGACCTTGCTAGAAAGATTGAAAACAAGGGACGGAATGAACGTGCAGCTAGTGAATTACGTAAGAAGGCCAAGACAGGAGGGTCTTTCAGTGGCGGTTTTAGTAAAAATCGAAGAGCAGGAAATCAGGGACAACAACAGGGTTCTTAGAAAGGGACACATTTGTCTTCACAGTCCATATAGACCACATTACAGACAGGGTAATAGGGGACCATCATCTTCTGGACATCGTAATTTTGGGCAGATTTATGTCGCTACTCCAGTCTACCAGACTTGTGGTAGATCATATTTGGGCCAGTGTCATGTTCTAACTGGAGAGTGCTTTCAATGCGGCCAGTTGGTACATCATTTGAGGGATTGCCCTCAGCCTCCGAGAAATTTCAACCAGGCTTCTATTCAGTCAGCTACACCTACTCAGACTACTCGTAATACTTCAGGTGCTACAGGTACAGGAAATAGAGGTCGACGTGCTGGAGACCGTGCTACTGTGAATCAAGGACAAGGGAATGCTGGTAGAGATTAGGTGAGAGTTTTTGCATTTACTAGACAGGATGCTTAGGACTCGAATGTTGTAGTTACATATATTCTTTCTATCTGTTCATTTGATGCACTTGCGTTGATTGATCCGGGATCTACTCACTCATATGTGTCCTCGTACTTTGCTTTGAGGTTTAGTAAACAATCTGAGCTATTGAATGATCCTTTTCTATTTGCTACTCCTGTTGGGGAGTCTCTATTAGCTGAATACGTGTATCGTGCTTGTTAGATTCGAGTTGAGGGTAGAGATACTCTAGTTGACCTTATTGACTTGATATGATTGACTTTGACTTGCTGATGGGAATGAATCGGTTATCTTCTTGCTATGCTATCGTCGATTTTCATGCAAAGATAGTTAAATTTAAGATACCAAACGAACCCAGTTTTGTTTTAAAGGGGGTCAGGTTCTAGAGACGTGCAAAGTTGTATCTTTCATGAAAGCTCAACGACTTATGAAGAAAGGTTGCTTGGGCCTATTAGCTATTGTAAATGATACAATAAATGAAACAGTTGGTATAGAAAATGTACAAGTAGTGAGAGAATTTTCTGATGTATTTCCTGAGGATTTACTAGGATTGCCTCCCGTACGAGAAATAGACTTTGGTATTGATTTGCTACCTGACACACATCCCATATCGATACCCCCATATCGAATGACACTAGCAGAGTTGAGGGAGGTAAAGCAACAGTTACAAGATTTGTTAGATAATGTTTTTATTAGACCTAGTATATCACCATGGGGTGCACCAGTACTGTTCGTAAAGAAGAAAGATGGATCCCTGAGAATGTGCATTGACTACAAGTAGTTGAACAAGATAACAATACACAATAAATATCCCTTGCCTCGTATAGATGACATGTTTGATCAGTTACAAGGAGCTGCCCACTTTTCAAATATTGACCTCCGTTCTGGTTATCATCAACTTAGAATCAAAGATGAAGATATTTCTAAGACTGCTTTCAGAACTCGATACGGGCACTATGCATTTCTTATGATTCCTTTCGAACTGACTAATGCCCCAGCAAAGGGTGTTAAACTGGTGGGCCGGGCCGGGTTGCTATTTTTTGGACCCGTACGGGTTATGGTCCGGGCCGATTACGGGTTGGGGATTAACGGGTTTAACGGGTTCGGGTTCATCCGGGTAAAAATTGAACCGTACGGGTTATGGGTTGAGGGGGTCGGGCCGGGCCGGGTTTAGTGTATTTTTTATTTTTTTTGTATTTTGTATAACTATTGTAAGTTATATTTATACTTTGTATTAGATTAAAGATTACAAGTTATATTAATACAAAAGTATTAATATAAATTGCAAGTGCTACATTTATTTCAATATTCAAAATTAAAGTTTGCATTTAAAAAGTAAATTAACAAAAAATAGTAAAACTAAATTTTCATGCATAATAAATTAACAATACTTCAAATTAATCTAACAAACTAAAACATTAAGCATAAATACGTCTAATAATTTTAAAATAACACAAATTGTCTTAAAATCTTAAATACGAATTTCCGGAGGACGCTCAAGACAATACTTGATATGCCTCATTAAACTGCTTGTGCCAGACTCTGAACGAAAATTTAAGACTTGACCACAGTTCTTGCACTTTACTTTCTGACCTTCTTCATTTTCTTCTACCACCTCAAAGTGTTGCCAAACATATGAGCGCACTCTAGAAGTACGAGACATGATTTAAATTGAATTGAGATTTGAGAATTAAGAATTGAGAATTTGAGATTGAGACTTGAAATCTTGAAAATTGGAGAATGAGAGAAATTGAGATTGAGAAATGAGAGTTGAGTGAAGAAATGAAGAAGAGGGGGTGTATTTATAGTTTTAGAGAAGGTTAATTTTGTAAATTGAAAAAAGGTTAAATTTTAAAGAAAAAAGAGGCTATTAATGCAATTAACCCGTTGGGCAACGGATCCCTGCCAGGTCTTACCGTTGCCAACGGTTAGTGGGCCCCACTTAATTCAAAAAATTAAAAACAAAACAAAAAAAATTGTACCGGGCCGGTTTAACCGGTACACGGTACTGTTCACGTGGACCGGGTTTGACCGTTCCGGTTAACCATTACCAAAATTTAAAACGGACCAACCCCCTCTACCCCTCCTACCCAGCCCCACCCGGCCCCTATGTACCGGGCCGGTCCGGTTCCGGTTTTAACCGGTCTGGGCCGGTCCGGTTACGGGTCAACCCGGCCTGTTAAACACTTTTAGCCCCAGCGGCATTCATGGATTTAATGAATAGGGTGTTCAAGCCATTTTTGGATAGATTTGTAATAGTATTTATTGATGATATCCTGATATATTCTCGTAGCCAAGGAGAACATGAGGATCATCTAAGGATTGTATTGTAGACATTGCGAGAACATCGGTTTTATGCTAAGTTCTCGAAGTGTGAATTCTGGCTAGACTCAGTAGCATTTTTGGGGCATGTTGTATCCAAAGATGGAATTATGGTAGATCTTAATAAAACCGAAGTTGTGCAGAAACGGCTCAAACCTACTTCTCTTACAGAGATTTGCAACTTTTTAGGCTTAGCAGGTTATTACAGGCGATTTGTGCAGGATTTCTCCGAAATAGTAATGTCGCTGACCAAGCTAACACAGAAAAACGCAAAGTTTCAGTGGACGGAGGAATGTGAGTAGAGCTTTCAAAAACTCAAAATATGTTTGACAACTGCACCAATATTAGGCTTACCATCAGGTTCTAGAGGATTTATAGTATTCTGTGATGCCTCGAGGGTGGGATTAGGATGTGTTCTTATGCAAAATGGTCGTATTATAGCTTATGCTTCGAGACAATTGAAAAAGCATGAGCAAATCTATCCTAAACATAATCTGGAGATGGCTGCAGTGGCATTTACTCTAAAAATTTGGAGGCATTACATATATGGAAAAACTTGTGAGATTTATACTGACCATAAAAGTATGAAGTATATCTTTTAGCAGAGAGATCTTAATCTTTGGCAGTGTCGTTGGATGGAACTACTCAAAGACTATGATTGTTCTATTTTGTATCATCCTGGAAAAGCCAATGTGGTGGCTGATGCATTGAGCAGAAAATCTATGGGGAGTCTGGCACACATAGTTCTTGCAAAGAGACTTTTGGCCAAAGATATTCAGAGACTAGAAGGTACAAGTATCAGAATTAGTGTCAGAAATTCAGAGGCATTGTTGGCTTGTGCTCAGGCCAAGTCTTCATTAGTTGAGCGCATTAAGGCCACCCGATATAAGGACGAGCGATTATGCAAATACAGAGATGAGGCCTTAGCTGGTAAAAAAAAGGATATACTTGTTGAAAGTGATGGTGTGCTTCAAATGGGTGGCAGGCTATGTGTAGGAGACGTAGACGGGTTGAGACATGATATTCTTGAAGAAGCCCACAACTCTAAATACACTATACATCCTGGATCCACAAAAATGTACTGTGACCTGAAGCAATTTTATTGGTGGGAAGGTATGAAGAAAGATGTTGCTAACTTTGTTTCTAGTTGTTTGACTTGTCAGCAGGTCAAGGCTGAGCATCAGCGACCCGCATGACTACTACAACAAATTGATATTGCAGAGTGGAAATGGGAAAGAATTACTACGGATTTTGTCACGGGTCTACCATGAACCCTTAGAGGTTATGATTCGGTGTGGGTAATTGTAGATCGACTGACAAAATCAGCACACTTTTTGCTAGTGAAGACTACATATGGTGGAGTGAGGTATGCACAAATATTTATGAACAAAATTGTCCGACTTCACAGAGTTCCAGTATCCATCATCTCTGATAGAGGATCACAATTCACTTCACGCTTTTGGAAATCTTTTCAAGAAGCATTGGGTATATGAGTAGATCTTAGTACTGCATTTTATCCACAGACATATGGGCAGTTGGAACGTACTATACAGATCTTGGAGGATATGTTGAGAGCTTGTATTCTTGAGTTTGGAGGTAGTTGGGACACTTATCTACCTTTGCCTGAATTTGCTTACAATAATAGCTTCCAGTCCAGTATTCAAATGGCACCGTACGGAGCATTGTATGGTAGAAGATGTCGTTCTCCTCTGGTGGTTTGAAGTTGATGAGTCTAACTTATTGGGACCTGACTTAGCACAAGAAGCTATAGACAAGGTCCAGTTGATCAGACAGAGACTGCTTGCAGCTCAAAGTAGACAAAAGTCTTATGTTGATAATAGAAGAAGAGATTTAGTGTTCACAACTGGGGACAAAGTGTTCCTATGAGTCTCTCCTATGAAAGGTGTGATGCAATTTGGGAAAATAGGTAAGCTGAGCCCCAGGTTTATAGGACCATATGCGATACTAGACCGAGTGGGAGCTGTGGCTTATCATTTGGCACTTCATCCTGAGTTGTCCTTTATTCATCCAGTGTTTCATGTCTCAATGCTAAGGAAATGTATATCAGACCCATCTCTGGTGTTTGAAGCACCTGCTATACCGCTTGATGAGAAGTTGTCTTAGGAGGAGGAACCGATGGTTATTGTTGATAGGCAAGTAAGAAAGCTACGGCCAAAAGAAATTGAGTTCGTAAAAGTCTTATGGCGAAATCATACAGTTGAAGAAGCTACTTGGGAAATAGAGGATATTATGCGAGTCAAGTACCCCCATTTGTTTCAGTCTACAGGTACGTACTTGAGTTAAATTCGGGGACCGAATTTCATAAGGTGGGGAGGATGTAATACCCTCTACTTTTTAATAAGGGTGCATTAGTCATTAGCATAATAATGATAATAATAATAATTATTACTTCCTCTGTTTCATATTAAATTAGATAGTCTGACTCGACACGGAGTTTAAAAAAAAGAAGACTTTAGGAACTTGTGATCTTAAAAGCTTAAGGGGTAAAAAGTTTGTGGGACCATGACATTTGTGTGGCTATAAAAGCTTCTCATTAAAGGTAAATGGGTAAAATAAAAGAGTTTAAAGTTGAATTATTTCCAAATTTAGAAATGTGTCATTTATTTTGGAACAGACTAAAAAGGAAAGTACCTCATTTAATATGAAACAGAAGGAGTATATAAATAATAAGTATAAGAAACTAACTATGAAAAAAACAAAAAAAATGACACAAAACGAAACAAAACAGAAAAGGAAAAATAAAAGAGAACAAGAACAAAGTAAAGTGGAAAGGAGAAGTACGCCAACTTTAGTGTTCTACCTAAATTAGGATTAGAATGGTAATTATGGAAGCTACATATGATTTCCATGTCAGCTATGGAAACCTAAGAGACCCAATTTGAATAGGAATCAAATGCCTAGGTTTTTTCTTTTTACATGTATAAATAGCAGCTTGGTATCGGCATACCGCATAGTCTTCCTCTCGCAGCAAATAATTTTTGGAGAAGGGTTTTAGGTTTTAAAAGCCTTTCGTTATTTTGAATCCAACACTTGAAATCTTACTTCCGATTGATTGGAGGAATTTGTACGAATTGCTCGAGGTGAAGCATTTGGCATTTCAACACGAGTATTGTGAATAATAATCTTACCGCAATTTGTATTTTCATAACTTGCATGATTTGCACATGATTTTTAATATGAATATGTTACCAATTATATTGAGTTGCATGTGGGAAAAGTCTTTTACTCGATATGATACCGAAATAGTTATTTAAGATGAATACCGTGGTTTTAAATATTTTCGTTGTCACTAGATCTGTTGTACCGTTACTTGAATTTACTGTTATCGAAAAGAAATTATATGATTTGATAAGAACCGAAATGCCCTATATTATTTTAAAATATTTTCTACAAGTATATACGGATTACAGAGACAAGTATAAACGGGGTAGACATTGAAGGATCCCATAGCTAACGGCGAGTTCGTTAGACCTAGTGCACCTTGTAATTATGGATTACCGTTATAGCCCTCACTAGTGGGAAGGTAGAACTAGCATACCGTTACCATTTCCCTCGAGTAGAGACTACCGTTATATTTGATTTTTTGCGAAGAAGTCCACATTTATACCGATTACATGATCCATTCATTAAAACCTCTCAAATGTGAATATTGATATTATATAGTGGTTACCGTTCTTATTACTGAACTGTTAATTAAATTATACTACAAGAAACGCATGATGAGACTGAAAATTATTTATTGTTTCTGAAAGGGCATTTTTATGTTATTTTCTGTTTGAGATACTAGCATGTTTTTTTCACTTGTCTCCAATAAAAACGGTTGTAGTTAAGTGTTATTACTTACTGAGCTAGCGACTTACTCCCCATTAATCTTTTTTACAGAGACAGCAGTTGATGCGGGTGAGGATTTCGTTAATTAGAGTGCACAAGTTGATAGTTCTTAGTGAGCCTCGCACTTGTTCGCGTGGGCGGAGCTTTATTTATTGTTATGGTCTTTTTTTGTACTCTTAGAGTCGCTCCATAGTCAATATTTTAGTGTCGGGAGTATTCTTTTATTATTATAGTGTTATGTTGAGTATCATTATTTATTATCAAAGTTGGAGATAAATTAGTAAATTCTGGTTGTTAGTGGGTTGATTAGAATGGTGGAGACTTGTTTTGGTTAATTGATAAGTTGTCAATTGTTTGCTATGACATTAGGATGTTTGGTTGTTGATTTGAGACAGGGAAATTTTTTGGGATAGTCCAAAAACAGGGAAAACTCTGTTCGATTTTCTGTAAAATTCCGATGAAGCTTACTTGGGAGCACTTGCTCCTAAGTGCTGGTCATGATCCTAAATTGGGTCGTGACAATCATCCTTCTTCATCTTCTCACATGAGAGATAGGACTCGTCAAAGATTACGTGTATACTCTCCTCAACACACTGAGTCCGCTTGTTGTATACCTTGTAGGCTCTACTTTGAGAAGAGTACCCCAGAAAAATTCCTTCATCACTCTTGGCATCAAATTTTTCAAGCTGATCCTTTCCATTATTGAGAACATAAAATTTGCACCCTAATGTTCTTAAGTGAGTTAGCTTCGGCATCCTTCCATTCAGCAACTCATAGGGAGTTTTGTTCAAGAGAGACCAGATCATGCACCTGTTCACCAAGTAGCAGGTAGTGTTGATAGCTTCAGCCCAGAAGTTCTTAACAATCCATTATCAATCAACATTATTCTTGCCATTTCTTCAAGGGTTCTGTTCTTCCTTTCCACAAGTCCATTTTGTTGTGGAGTTCTTGGGGTTGAGAAGTTATGGGTGATGCCATTCTCGTTGTAGAATTCATCAAACTTGGCATTGTCAAATTTTGTTCCATGATCTGATGTAATGCATGCTACTTTTGATTCCATCTTCACTTGAATTTTCTTCACAAAGGCTACAAAAACTTCAAAAGTTTCATCTTTTGTTCTAAGAAATAGAGTCCAAGTGAATCTGGAATAGTTATCCACTATCACAAAAATGTATCTTTTTCCTCCCCTGCTTTGCACTCTCATAGGACCACATTGATCCATATGAAGGAGATCAAGTGATTTTGAGGTGCTGATATCATTCTTTGGCTGGAATGAGGATTTCACATGCTTTCCTCTAGCGCATGCATCACAAATTTTGTGTTTTTGGAACTTTGACTTGGGCAGACCACGAACCAGGTCCTTCTGAACCAACTTATTCAGCATAGAGAAGCTTGCATGCCCTAGCATTTTGTGCCACAATTCAACATCATCATCAACTGCTTTCAAACAGCTCATATCACCACTTTGTTAGGACTCAAAATCAACAATGTAGATATTCTTGTATCTTTTGGCCACAAGTACCATTTCACCAGTTACTAGATTTGTAACTGTGCATATCTTTGACAACAACTCCACTTTATTTCCTTTATCACATATCTGAGAAATACTTAAGAGATTGTACTTAAAACTATTGACATAGTACACATTCTCAATTGAGTGAGTGAGTGATTTTTCAATTTTTACAACACCAAGAATGTACCCTTTTTCCCATTTGCAAAGGATACACTCCCTCCTTGCAGGGCTTTTAGTGAAAGAAAGTTCATGGTATTTCCATTCATGTGCTTTGAGCATCCACTGTCCATGAACAATTGTTGACTACTTCCTTTCACGATTCCTGCACAAGGAAATCAAGGGTTAGATTTAGGAACCCAAGCAAGTTTGGTTCCCTTGTAATAAGCAAGGGGATGCATAAGTGCTCTTCTAGTCCATGCAAGTAACATGTGCTTTTTATGGGTGGCACCTGGTCCTCTTTCAGAAAAAACTTTGTTTCTCTGAAGAGACTGAACCCTGGCTTGGCAATTTTCCTTAAAATGCCCATTGTTCTCACAGTGGGTACACAACCAATTATCAGGCACAATGACGTACTTACTATGAGGGTTATAAGGAGTTCTCTCCCTTTGAAACCCTATTCCCTGCCTATTTCCACCATTGTTGACGTACATGACAATAATAGCATCAGAGGACTAGGTCCACTTAAGAGACTTCTCAAGATCACTTTTTACTCTTTCCAGTTCTACTTGAAGTTGTCTATTTTTCTCAAGTTCAGCACACAAACTAGTTTTTACAACATTTAACTCGTTTTCAAGTTTAATATGTGCCTCACTAACTACTTCTTTTCCTTTTTTAGAATTCCTAGGCCTACATTCAGCTTTGAGTTCCTCTATTGTTTCCTTTAAGTCTACAAGCACCACTAAGAGGTCATTTCTTTCCTGCTCAATAACAGCTACTTTCTCCACTACGACATCTTTTTCTTTTCTGAAATTCTCAATGGTTTCTTTTAGGTCAACTACTACCACCATCATATCATCTCTTCCGTGCTCTACACTAGTGATTTTCTTAGTTAGAACCTCCTTTTCATTTTCCAGATTATTTATAGTTTCCTTCAAATCAACCACAAAAACTACCAAGTCATTTCTAGTTTGCTCAGCATTTCCTAACTTCATAGTTAAGGCATCCTAATCATTTACAAGACTATTGTAAGCATCAATTAACATATTAGCTAATGACATGAGTTTTCTACGAGAGTAGGACTTCATATTTCTCTGAACATCCCAAAAATTTACATCATCATTGTCATCGTCTTCATCATCATCTGATTGAGCCATCAAAGTAAATATTGAGTCATACTCACTTGCTTCACTTTCAACTGCCATCATTAAGCTGTCACCTGCATCATCTTCTTCTTCAGACTCAGTGGAAGAATCTCCCCATGCTGCAAGAGCTTGCTTCACAATATTGTTAGTGGTGTTTTTTCTTTTGAAGAAGCGTTTATCAGGAACCGGGTTCCTTTTGACTGCTTTGTCAGAGTTGTGCTTGAAGTGTTCTTGCTTCAGGAGAGGGAAATCTTTGATGAGATGCCCTAGATTTCCACACTTATGAGAGATGTCATAATTCGTTGGCTTGTTAGAACTACCCCTCTTTTTCATACCTCCATTCCTTTGAACCATTTTTTGAAACCTTCTGGTTAAGTAAGCCATGTCACTATCCTTGCTGCTTGAGTCATTGCTTTCTGCCTTGAGTACCAGGTTCTTTTCCTTCTTTGGTTTTCTTC